TATTTATAAATAAAATAAAAATATTTATTTTATATTATAAAATATGTATATACATATTTATTTTATATTTATATAAATATATATAAAAAATATTTATATTATTTATCTTTATATATTTTATTATATATATGTATAATTATATATATAAATTTATATATTTTTATATAATATATTTTTTTTTTTTTAATCTTTATATTAGATATTTATAAAAAATAAATTAAAAATATTTATTTTATTATATATATATTTTTATATATTTAGGAGCACTAGAATACGATGAATTAGAATTAATTAAAGGTAAAAGAAATTTGCAAAAAATTAATATATACCGTAGTAAATACAAAATAATAAGAATTTTAAAAATCTAACTATTAATTTTAAGAAAAAATTAAAAATTTTATTTAGATATATAAATTTTATATATTATAAATTATTAAATATTCTTTAAATAATTATAGATCCAATACCCATAATATTACCTTATGAAAAATTTTCATTAATGTGGGATTTTATTCATTTAATTTTCATAATAATAAATATTGTTAAAATTCCTTTCGAAATAAGTTTCCATACATATCATTCTAATAATATTTCTATTGATTTTTTAAGTAATATAGCTTTTCTAATTAATTTTTTTATGATTTTGAATACAGCATATTACCACGAAGGTGTAATAGAGAAAAAAAGGAGTAAAATAATCTACAGTTTTTTCAATTTTAGGAATTTATTAGAAATCGCAGCCTATATTTTTGTTTGTAGTTAATATTCTTAAGAATATGATGTTATAAAAATGCTTTTCATTTTATTAAAATTTATAAATTTCTATTAAATAATCGAAAGAATAATAGATTCTTTTTAACTTTCTCCTTCTTATAATTTTATTATTTCTTTAATTACATTATTATCCTAAGTGATTTTCCTATGTCATATGTTTGCCTGCTGTTGGCATGCCATAGGGAATTATTCAATAGAATCAAACTAAAAAAGTTGGATGCATAAAGTATAAATCTAAAATAGTGATAATTATACAAAATATGTAAATAGTGTTTATTTTGCCGCAATTACTATAGGAACTATTGGGTATGGGGATATTACACCAAATAATAATTTGGAATAACTTTTTGTAACTTTTATAGCTATTTTATCTTCAGGAATTTTCGCATATATTTTGAGTAATATATAAAATGTGTTTAGAGAATATAACGAAAAATAAGAATATTATAGACTATAATTAATTGATTTAAACAATTATATGACAAGTAGAGAAGTTAATCCTTAATTATAGTAAATGGCAAGAAAATATCTTAAGTATGTGAATGAATAAGGATATAGAAGTAATAAAATTCCAAGTGATTCTTTAAATGGTTTAAGTTAAATTTTAAAAAAAGAAATCTAACATGAAATTGCTCTAAAATCTATTCATAAAATTAAATTTCTTAGTAATAATTTTTCCAAGAAATTTCTAGATTCACTTTCAGATGCTATTAAAGAAATTAATTTCGGTTTTTTTTTTTATTATTAAAATTTAATTTTCAATATTTATTTATTTTTATAAAAAAGGACCAGACGAGATTATTATGAAAAATGATTAACATAATATTCCTTGTTTATATTTAATTCTAAAAGGAACTGTAGATATATATATGGATAATGGAAAAAAGAATAACAATTCTATAATGAATGAAATAAAACAGTTTAGTCGTTTAAGATAAAATCAAATATTTGGTTTATATGAATTCTTGTCATAAAATTATTACTCTTAAACAAGTGCAAGGAGTATAGGAGTAACAACTATACATTATATAGAATTAGATTAATTTATTAAAGTTTTAAATTAATATCCGAATGATAGAGAGACATATTTTAATATGAAAGATAATATAAATTTATATAATTCTTTAGAAGATTATAAATTAATGTGTTATTCATGTAAAAGTAATATGCATTTAATTAAAGATTGTCCTCTTTTTTTTTATAAACCGAAAAATCAGAGAGTTTTGAATATATTTTTAAAAGAATAGTAATAGTTTATTAAATAATTCAAAAGAAATATGGTCAGATAGAAGTTTGCGACTATTAGCTAATATTATTATATTAAAGAAGATATATAATTTTATTAAGATGAAAATTAAATTGTAAGAATATAAGATGAATTTATGGACTAATATGATGAATAATTAAAAAATGAAAATGAATTTGATGTCTAGAAAATATATAACAATAGTCAAGGCTAATAAAAATAAAAATAAACGCAAAATGTATTTTAAAAAAAAAAATCTAGTAATTTAAAAAATTTAAAAAGATAAATATCTTCAAAATTAGGTCTTAATTAAATTTTATAATAAAATTAAAACTATTACGATATATAAAACTAAGATGATAATTAATAAAATATTAACAAATAAAAATAAGAACTTATTAATATGTTTATATAATAAACTAGAAATTAAAATAATTTATAAGGTCTTTAAGGAAATGATATAGAAATGCATTTTGATTTTATTAGAATTTTTAATATTTATATGGCACATAATAATGTTTAAAATGTTTTATTAAAATATAATCGCTTTTACAAAATTTACAGAAGTTAGTTAAAGATTAAAAAAAAAAATAACATAATGTATATATCGAAAAAAATAGATCAAAATTATTCGCCAAGATGTTAAAGATTTAAAAATTAATAAACAATAAAGCAATAATGATTTTATTATAATAAAATAATGTTAAAAATAGCTATATAATAAAAATATGTATATATATATATATATATATATAAATGATAATATTTTGTATTATAATATTACTAAAAAAATTAATATATTACACAAAAAATTTAAATAATAGTAAAAAAATATAAAAATGATTTACAAATATTTGAAATTAAATTTAAATAAAAATTAAAACAAAAAATAAAAAAAACAAAATAAAGTAAAGTAAAAAATATAAATAATAATCAAAAATTTTTAAAAATTAATGAGTATTTATACTAAAATAATAAATTAATAATAATAATGAAATATTATGTATAAATATATACATATATATATTTATTAGTATAAATATATATACATATATAAATTTATTATAATAATATATTTTTATAACAATATGTATTTAATGATCTATAATAAAATTAATTAAAAAAAAAAAAAAAATTAAATATAATTATAAATAAAAAAACAAAAAATATGAAATGAAAGAATATGAAATAAAATTAAATATATCAAATGATATAAAATTGAATATATTAGTCTTTTTAAAATTTAATTCTAAAAAAATATGAATTAAAAATAAAATATTTAGATAGAAATTATACTTAAATTAATTTATAATAATATTTAAATTAATATGTTAAAATGATGTTTATAATATTTTTATTAATTAAAATTATTATTATAATTTAATAAATTCTCTGAAATAGTTAAAAATTATATTTGTTTATATAATATTTTTTATTAGGTTAATAATTTTATAATAATGTATATAATATATTTTTATATTGAAATCCCTATTATTTTTTATATTTTTTTTTATTGGTAAATTCGTAAATAAAAAGCAAATATAAGAATCACTACATATACTAGAAAAAAAAATAGTAATTAAAGTAATTAATAATTATTAAAAAATATATAAAATTAAATCATATTAATATATATATTCTTTATACATTATTATTATATTGATAAATATATATTTATAAACAAAACAAAAATTCCATTTTTTTATATTTTAATACAAATACATTTATAAAAAATAAATATTAATATAAAACTAAATAATTTTTTTTTCATATTTTTTTATAAAATTAAAATAAAAATAAATATCAAAATATATAAAAGGTTAAAAATAAATAAATAAAAAAAACAACTCAAAAAAAAAATGACCGAAACAATAAAAAGAAAAAAAGGAGGAGGTTTTGAATCCATGAATTTAGTATATCCAGTATACAAAGCCATAAAAGCTCGTGGTTTTAACGTCCCGACCCCAATATAGAGAAAAGCGATTCCTTTAATCCTCGAAGGTCGTGATATAGTAGCCTGTTCTCGAACAGGTTCTGGTAAAACTGCCGCATTTGTAATTCCTTTAGTAAATAAGCTCTAAACACACTCTAGAACAGTCGGTGCGCGTGCCTTAATAGTATTACCTACTAGAGAATTAGCTTTATAAGTTTTAAATAATACATATATATATATATAAATATACATTTTAAAAAAAATATATAGATAACTTCAGTATTAAAATCTTTTATAAAATTCACTGATTTAACATATTCATTATTAGTAGGAGGCCATAATTTAGAAGGTTAATTTGAGAGTTTAGCTGGAAACCCAGACATATTAATAGTTACACCAGGTCGTTTATCATAATTAATAGATGAAACCGGACTTACATTAAATAAAGTAGAATTTTTAATATTTGATGAATGCGATTATTTATTCGAAATGGGTTTCGCAGACCAAATGAAGACTATTTTAAAAAAAGTTTCCCAAAACAGGTAAACTTTGATGTTTTCAGCAACTATACCAGAGGAGCTTTCTTCTTTTGCTAGAGCAGGCTTAAAAGAGTATGTTTTTGTTAAATTAGATTCCGAATATACACTAAACGAGAATCTTTCATTGAATTTTTTACTAGCAAGAAATAACGAGAAATTCGCCATTTTAATATATTTATTAGAAAAGATTATTAATTATTCAGAAAATACTGAAAACTCAACAATAATATTTGCCTCAACTAAATACCACGTAGACCTAGTGAGCGCCGTTTTGGAAAAATTCAAAATCGAAAACGTCTCCATATACGGTAAAATGGACCCACTAGCCCGAAAAGACTAAATAAATGAATTTAAAAGCAAAAGAGTTAACGTTTTAGTAGTCACAGACTTAGCTGCAAGAGGTATAGACTTGCCCCATGTTTAAAATGTAATCCATTTTGACCTTCCTGCTTAGACTAAAATTTTCATTCATAGATCAGGGAGGACTGGTAGAGCTGGAAAAACAGGAAATATATATGCAATGGTTAGCATGAATGAAATTATGTATATAAATGAAGTCTGCTATTATGTTGGGAGGAAAATAAGTGAAAAAGAAGATGATTTTTCAAAAAAAGATAATAATAAAGCCTATTATGGGGTCGTTCCGTCGTCTTTAATTGAAGATACTTAAGGTAAAATAGAAATTTTGTAAAAGGAAGACATAGAAATTTATAAAATGTAATAAATGGCAAATAATGCATTTATTTAATTCCTTAAAACTAGAGAAAGTGCATCTAAAGTGTCTGTTAAAAATCAAAAAATGATTAACAGGGAAAAAATCAACCCTCTTTTTGCAAATTTGGTCAAGGATGAGGAAGAAAAAATTGCTTTTTTGAACTAAATAAGACATTTTAAACCCTAATAGTGTGCTTTGGAGATTTTTTAATAGAGATAAATTAAAAATGCAGGCGTTTTAAAAGAAAGTGATGAAAGTTATGCTTTTTCAGGTTTTTAATAAGCCGTTTAATAATTAAAAAAATAAGAAAAATAATTCCAAGAAAGAAAATAAAGATAAGAAAAAATCTCTTAATTAAGAATAGAAATTTAAAAATAGAAAGAAGAAGAAGAAGAAGAAAAAGAAGATATTTTAAGTGCTTTAGACGAACAAGATGTCAGAAAAATGGAAAAAGAAGAACAAGAAGGACTAAATATTGATGAGAATGACGAAAATATTTAAGAAGATGAGCCAGATATTAAACTAGAAGATGAAAAAAAGCCTTTAAATATAAAAAAAAAGATAAAAAAATCACAAATACTCGATTTTAGACATAAAGATTAATACATAAATGCACAATAAGATCATTTTAGGGTAAAAAAAATTGAAGATTCTTCAAAAATTTAAACTTCGGATGTAAATGCATATATAGTAGGGGAAGATTACGAGGATATATTAAGAAATAAAAAAAAAAATATTTGGGATAAAAAAAAGAAATAGTTCGTTCGAGGAAAATAAGATGAAGTGGGAAGAATAGTAAAAGACAAAGAAGATAAACACCACAAAAAATAGGGTTAAGTGGCAAAAGAAGTATTAAAAAAATGGTAAAAAAAAAATATGGTCAAATTATAAAAAGAAGGAGAAACTGAAGATAGTAATCTAGTTAATAGAGTTAAAGGAATGTTTAAAAAAAGAAATCTAAACTAAAAAGGAATTTATTTAAATGATAATAATAATGAATTTAAATAAAAAGGAGTTAAAAATGAACTTAAAAATCAATATTAATTATTAAAAGTAAAATATAAATATTAATATTTATATATTTATATATATATGTATATAATTAAATTATAAAATTATTTTTTATATAAAAAAAATAAATAAAAATAATATTAATTAAATAAAATTATAAATAAAAAAATAATTATTAATATATATATATATATATATATTTATATTATATTTATTAATTTATTAAATTTATTTTAGAATAAGAAAATTAAGAAAGGAAATAAACTTAAGAATATGGATAGGGGTAAAAGAAGCTTAATTATTTAAAGAAATAAATAAAATTTTAAAAGTCCTAATATTAATAAAACACCATTTATAAGCTAAAAATCATATTAAAAAGGTGGAAGAGGTGGAAGAGGTGGAAGAGGTGGAATTAGAGGAAAATCAGGAAGAGGAGGTTTTGGAGCAAAATTTTGAAAAATTGGAAAAGGAGGGAGAAAATGAAATTATCTTTTTATAATATTTTTATATATTTTTTTAATTTTATAAAAATTAAATTATAATAATTTTTAATATTTTATTTATTAAATATAAAATAAATTATATATTAACATTTATATAATTAAATATATTATAATTTATATTAATAAGTATAATAATTCTGGTTTTAAATATATTACTTATCTATAAATAATTTGATATAATATTAAATATATATTATTTAATATTATAAAATAAAAAAAAAATGCATAATTACAATCAATTATTTTAATTAATTTTCATTAAATATTAACTTAATTTAATCAATTAACTTAAAATAAAATTAGTCATATATCTTAAAAATTTTAATATAAGAATATAATCAAAAATTATATTCAAATCTTTATAATTCTTTAGATATAATAGAATTTTATTAATTCCTTAATTTTGAATTCCTTTATTAAATTATATAAATACTTATGTTTCTTATTATCAAAAATAAGATCTTTAAAAAATTAAAGTTTTATTATTTAATTTTACATAATTATAAAAAAATATATAATTAGTAATAAAAATTTAAAATATAAAGAAATTATTTTAAATATATAATAATTAATAAAATCATATTTAAAAGAGAAAAAAAATAATTTATTAATTATATAAATATATTTTAAAATATAATAGTTTTTATTTATTTTAAATATTAATGAAAAAAAATTATATACTATAATGATATCATTTTTAAATAAAGATATGATTAAAAAAAATTATATTTTTATATATATTATATAAATTATTGAAAATGTTTATATATATAAAAATATAAAAAAATAATATATAAAAACATTTTAATAAAAAATATAAAAAAAATATAATTATTTTAATATAAAAAAATAAAATACATATTATTTTTAAAAATATCAAATAATATAGTATAAAAAAAATACATTTGTATTAAATAAAATATAGAAAAGTTATTAAATTAAAATATATAAAATAATAATAAAAATATATTAAAAAATAATAAAATTGCAAAAAAAAATTAATAAATAAAAATATGTGTAATTATATATATATTTATTTATATATAAATTTATATATAAAATATAATATATAAAATATATATATTTTTTTTAATTTTCTTTTTATTTATAACATTCAAGATTTATTATATTTATTATTTAATTATTAATCAATATATATAAATATAATTATTTAAATTTAATTTTAATCTTTGACATAAATTTATTATTAATTATATGTTTTATATATTATATATTTGTAATTATCTGATCTTAAGATTTGTTAACGAAGTTTAAAATAATTTTATTCTTTAGAGTATTTAAAATATGTATTTTATTTGTTACTATTTTTTTTATAATAAAATTATTTAATGCTAAATTGAGTTACAATTAATATATTTATTATTTTTATAAACTTTGAAAATTTAATCTTATTTTATTTTTATAATTATATAAAAAAAATTATTTATTAAATATTAATTTAATATTTATATGATTTTATTATTTATAATTCTAATATATTTATACAATTTTTTTTTATTTCTAAAAAATTATAAATAAATGAAAAGAAATAATATCCTGTTAAAACTTTAAAAAAAATTAATTTTATAAGCTCAAAAATATTATATGTTTAAAATAAAAATCAATTTAATATATATAAAATTTTATATTTATAAAAACATAAAAACTTTAATTAATTTATTGAAAAAAGAATAGAATTATTTTTAATATACATATAAAAAATTTACTTTTTTTATTTTATATTATAATAGTATTCTCTATTTTAACTTTAAAAGAAAATTAAGTGATATTTGATATAATTTTATAATATTAAAAATATTATTTTTTTTAAAAGAATTTTTAATTTTTTAGAAATTTATTTTTTTTAGAAATTTTTATTTTTAGATAATTTTTATTATTAGATATTTTGATTTTTTAGATATTTTTTATTTATTAGATATTTTTATATTTTAAATATTTTTTTTTTAAGACATTTTAGATATTTTTTATTTATATTTTTTAGACATTTTTATTTTTTAGAAATTTTTTATTATTTAGATATTTTAATTTTTACACATTTTTGAGAACAAACTTTTAGAAAAACATATTTTAAAGTATTTTTTATTCAAAGAAACATAGGACTTATAATATTTTTTGTACAGAACTTATATTTTTTAATTTTAAAATAAGCAATATAAGAAAAAAGAGAATAATAGAAAGATAATATTTGTTTTTATATTTTAAAAATAATATTAGATAAAGGCTAAAGAAAGCAAAAAAGCATATTTTTTTTTTAATAAATATAAATTTTTATATTTTTATATGATTTTCAAATATGTGATTTCTTTTTTTTATCTCACCTTCAATTATATATAGAATTTTCTCTTGATTTGTCTTACCCGTTTTTATATTGGCTTCCATTTGTATTATTATTATTATTATTACTATTATTATTACTAGCTGATCTTCTTCTACTTTATTTCTTTCTTTATACTGATTAAGATGAGTTATAGACTTTATCTTTTTTTCGATCACTACTATTTTTCTTTTTCTAGAAAATTCGCTGCTATTTTTCTAATTTTTCTTGTATCTTGTCTATCATTAGATTTGCTTCTACTTTTCCTATCTAAACTTTTAGAATATCTCTTTCGATCTTAGCTTCTATTTCTATATTTAGAAATTCTATATGAATTTATATTATGTATTAAATAATATATAAAATAATATAAAATATTATATATATATAAAATAATATTTATATATATTTAATAATGAGAATAAAATTTCAAATTATATAATTAAAAATATTTATATATACAAATATCATAAAAATATAAAAATAATTTAAAATAAAATAATATTTGTTTTTTTTTTTTTTTAATTATGAATATTTTTTAATTTAATTGTCTATTATATAAAATATAAAAATTTGTAAATATATTTTCTTTATTTATAATAAAATAAATATATCTATTATAAAAATTATAATATTAATATTAATAATAATAATAAAAATATTGATAATAATAATATATACATATATAAATTATTTATATATATATGTTTTTTTTATTTATAATACTTTTCATATGATCTTGAATTTCTAGTTCTTCTATAATTCTTAGATTCTGATCTAGAATGTCTTCTTTTATATCTTTCTAGTGATTTTGAGTTTCTTCTTCTTCCTAATTACAATATATAAAATATTTTTTTTTTTTTTTCATATATAATAAAATAAAATTTATATAATTTTAACTATATGATCCAGAACGAGAAGACCTTCTTCTTCTATCATTAGATCTACTTCTTTATCTAAAAAATAATAAAATATAATAAATATTCTTTTAAATATATAAAAAATACTTATAATCTCTTCTATCTCTATAACTTCCATGTCTATGTCTATCTATGATTATAAACAAAATAAATTTAAATATATGAAAAAGAAAAAAATACCATAACTATCTCTTCTAGATCTAGTACAATCTTTTGTAGCATGATTACTGTATCCACAATTAAAGCAATTTTCTCTTCTTCTTTTTCCTCCATGACCGAATTCTAATCTTATTTATTTCCCTTTAAATTCCATATTATTGCAACTATAATTATTTATAAATATAAAAAAAAAAAAATCTTATTTTTTATTTACTCATCTAATGCATCTTTTGCATCTCTGTGATCTTAAAATTCTATAAATCCGTAATGATTTGAGCCGGTTGCTTTTATTTTTATTTCTTTGACAGTCCCGTATTTTTTGAAAATGTTTTCTAGATCCCGCTTGTCAGCCTTTATATTTTTATTTTTAAAGATATTTATTTATTTTTAATATTTTTTTATACATCTTTTGATAGGTTTCCTATAAATAACTTACAATTCTTTTTTTCGTCTTTATCTTTATCTTTTTCCTTTTCTTTATTTCTAGAATTACTGTGACTCATTTATTTATAATAATTATTAAAAAAAATATTTTATTATTTTCTTCTTTTTATATAATATGTATTAAAGAAAATAAAAATATTTTTTTATGTTTTTGTTTTTTTTTTTAAATAAATATTAAATTTGAATTATTTAATTTAATTTTTTTTTTTTTATATTTAAATAAAATAATTATATATTCTTATTTACATAAATAAATTAAACAAAACTTTTTAAAATAAATAATAAAAAAAATTAAATATTATTAAAAAAATAAACACATCGAACAAAATATGGATTTTCCTTATCTTATCTTTTATTTTAATATTATTTTATATAAAATTATATTTGTTTTCTAATATAAACTATTTAATATTTTTGGATTTTTATATAAAACTATGAATGTTTTAGATAATTTTATTGCTAATCTAAAAAGAAATAATTTGTTTTTTATTTTTAATTTTTTATATAATAATTATTTAAAAAAAAAAATTAATAATTTTAAAAAATATTTATTTTATATTTATTAAAAAGTTAAATTGTATTTATATTAAAATAAAAAATAAAAATGATAAAATTAATATTTAAATTATCTAAATCTGAATTTTATAGAAAATAAAATATATTTATAACAAATAAAACATATTAAATTATTTTATTAGCTTATTAATTGTTTTTTTAAAAATGTCTTATTCAATTTAATAATTGTTATTTTATATTAAATTTAGTTTAGAAGTTTCACTTTTTTAAAATATAAAACACTATCAGAATCAAAAAAATGAAACTTTATCAATAAAATTTTAAAAAAATAAAAATTAATAATTAATAACTATAGCAGATTTGATAATTCTAAATAAATAAATAGTTAACAAATTATTTATAAAAAATACAATTTAAAAATTGTAAATTAAAAATAAGAAAGAATATATATATATATATTTTTTTTGTTTTCTTTTTTATAAATTTATTATGATATATTTAAAATTAAATATATTAATAAATTAATTTAAATAAAAATAATTTATCTAAAATCACATAATAATAATCGATCTAAAATCAATATAAATTATAAAACAAAAAATTATCAGAAAAAATTTAAATATTAATATTAATGAATATATTTATTTGATATTAAAATAAATTATTTAATAAAATTTATTTATGCTAAAAATAAATAAATTGAATTAATACAAAAAAAATAAAAATATGAATTTAATATATATATATATATATATATATAAATTATATATAATAAAATTAATAAAAATAAAATAATAGTATCTCTTAAAATACGAAAATAAATAACATTATTTTAGTCAATTTCATTCTTAATCTATATTGCAATCACCAAAATCAATAACTGTCAAACTGTTTATATTATCGGGTTCTTCGAAATTTTAGAATTCTATTTCAGTAAAAATATTTTAATCTAGTCCTAAATTAACGTTTTTGGATGGTAAATTTATATTAATTTTATTTTATTGATTTAAACAAGTAGTTATATTTTCATTTTATAAATAATTAAAGCTGTCTTTATTTATAATTTTAATATTATCATTAGTATATAATAAATTTTTAAAATTCTAAAAACCACTATTATTTTAAGGGGAATTTTAAATTAATTCGTCGTCATTTAAATTTTAATCCTTGTTTATTATCCCACTTGAAATTAAATACTAACTACCAAAAATGTGTAAATTAAAATCTTTAAACTTAAATTTTGCATTTTCTTATCTATTTATATGATTACCAATGCGATTTTTTGGACTTTTATATTATTTACTATTATTCATATATGCTATTATATTAGAAAATAGAAATATAGTTTTTTTTTTTTTTTTTATGAATGTATTATATATTTAATTAATTACTATAAATTATTATTGATTAAATTTTTCTACAAAATTAATTATAATTCAAAACAAAATATTTTAATAAATTAACTTATAATAATATAAAAGCTATATATTATATTATATTAAAGTTAAGTTAATAATATTTAATTTTATGTATTAATGATGTAAAATAATTGTAAACAAAATAATTTTATTAATATTTTTAATTTTTAAGAAAAAATAATAATTTTATATTTAATTAATTTATTTAATTTAAATCCATAAAATACTGTTTAAAAATTTAAAGTATCTTTAAAAAAATTTTAACCATAAATTTTATTTTTTAATTTTTCGTCAAAATAAATTAATTTATTATCATATTTATATTTAGATATTTTTCATTATTAATTTAAGGAAAAAAAGAGTAATAAATATTAATAATAAAAAAAACATAGCATTTAATATTTTTTATTTACTGAAAGCAAAATATATTAATTATAACAAAATTTTTGATAATCATTAATATAAAAATTATTCTATTTTATAATTTTTAAAATATAAAATTGAGGCTTTAAATAAAAATATGTATTAGTTTTTATAATTTTTATAGAAAAGCTTAAAATTATTATTTAAATAATATATGAGATATTATTTATATAAATTAAATATAATATTTATTAATTATTTTTTTATTTGATTTTATAATTTTTTTTTAATTGTATTTTATAATTTTTTATATAAAATAAATTTATTTTTTGATAATAGATATAAATATAATATTATTTGATTTTTTTTTTTTTTTATTATAATAAAGAACCAATTTATAAATCATAATATTTATAAAATACATATTTAAATAATTTAATAAAGGGAGAAAAAATAAAAAATATTACGATAATAAATATTATTTAATACTTTTATTTTATGAAAACAATTTCCATTATTTACAGATGTTTTTTGTTTCTATAATATCAAACACATATATTTATCGCAATAAAATTTTTTTAAATTCGAATTTTTAATTTTCTTTTTATTTCATTGTAAATAGATTATACAACAATATTAATTCGAACTTCTCTTATGTTTTAGAAAGAAATTGATTAAATTTTTAAACATTATCATCTCCTTCTATCTAATTTAATGATAAATTAAGCATGTTTAATTTATTATTTCTTACATAGACCCATACTTTTTTTAATAATATATATTTTATTAAAAGATTTTAATACTATTGTCTGATATTTACTATATAGGCTCAAGTATTGGCACTTTTTCGGCATCAGCTATTTTTTTTCCTTTTAACTTAAAATAAATTAAGCATTTTTATTTATTTAAAAAAAAAAAAGAAAAAAAGTAAGTATATATAAAAAATAATTATAATATAAAAAAAATATATATATATACTTTTTTATTTCTTTCTATTATCTAATCTCTTTCTTATTCTTTGTTTCTATATTCAATATATTCTTATTCAGTCAAAGGATGCATTCCAATACTATAAAATATTTTTTCTAATTAATTTACATTTGTTATATTATTTTTAGCTAATCCTATTACTTCTAAACTTCTATTTTTAAAAATTAAATTTCCTAAAGAAATAAAACCTTTTAAAAATAAAAATAAAACCTTTTAAAAAAAATAAAAATACCTAAATCATCAATTTAATTATCATATAAATCTATAAATTTCAAAGAACTTTATTCATTATTTTCTATACTTTAAGCAATTACCTAAGTTAATTCGCCTTTTAAATTATTACATCTTAAAATAAGATTTTCGATTTTATTAAGTTTCCCAATATTTTCAAAAAACTCTTTCCTATAATTTAAATTTTCAATGCTATTCCATTCAAAAAATAATCTTTTTATTTTATTTTCTGAATTAAGAAATTAAATTAATAATCTTAATGTCTCTTCATCAAAATCATTATTTGAAAATCTTATATTTTTTATAATTTTTTTTTATTTTTTTTTTACTTTAAAGTAATTATATTTGTAGATTATATAGAAACTAAAAACATTTTCATTGTTTCATAATCTATTTTTACATTACAAATTTAAAAATAAGGAGGAAGCTCTTCTTAAAAATTAATCAACTCTAAATTTTACGTTGGTTATTACATTTATTTTTATATTTCTTCTTTTTTTAAAGTTTTTTATGTTTAATCTTTTTCCTTTTCTAATTATGTTTATTATTATGATAGATTTTCTTATTAGTTTGTTTTATTTTTTATAAACAAAGGATGTAGTTGATTTCCAATACTTTTGCTTAAAAATTACATGTTATCATATATATTTTCAGTCATTTTTACATTTATTTCTTTAGTGTAATTTGTAAAAAAACTATCAATATTTTAACATTCTTCAGATGAAAATTTTTTAAATTTCCAAAAAATCGTTTAAGTATCTTGCTAATATAAAGGTATAATTTCTATTAATTATTTAAATAAAATATAATTTATATTTTTTGTAAAATACAATCTACATTTATATTCTTCTTTTTTTTTTGGAGGCATTATAATAATATTGAAAATATAATGTACTTTAAATATTTAGTTTATATATAAATCAATAATAAAAAAAGTATGAATAAGTATAAATAATTTATTTATTAATAAAAATATATAAATAAAAATATATAAATATAAATATATATATATATATATATATATATAATTTTTATATATAATAAAATATTTTATTTATTTAATGACTTTTAATGAATAAAATTTATTCTTTAATTCTATTTAGATTATATTTATTATTTATATTTAATATGAATTTTAAACTAAATATATAATTATATTTGATTTATAAATAAATGAATTATTAATAATTAATATCAACAAAATATTTAATATTTAATTATGAATTTATATTCTTATATATTATTTTTCATTTTATTATTTTTAATATAATTTGATTAATTACTTTATGATTTATTTTCTATATTTAAAAAAATAATAATGATTGTAATTATTTTTTAAACATAAATTTTCAATTATATTTAATTTAAATTAATAAATTAATAGAATTTTTTTATTCATTTTTTAATTCTATTTTTTATCATAAAAAAATAAAAATTAGGTTAATATTTAAGAAAAAAAAAAAAAATTAATATAGTTATATCTATTCTTACATTATCTTTATATATTTATGAATTTTCTATTTTTTTCTATTAAAATTTGTTTTTAATCTATAAAAATATATATTTTAATTTTTAATATAATAGAAAAATGTAAAAATAATTTAATTAAGTAATTTTATAATTCAATAGTTTAATTCCCATAATTTATTGTAAATTAATTTTTTCTTTTTTAATTTACTTTAAATGATATAAAATAGTATAGTAATATTTAATATGATATACATTATAATTATAATATTGGATTTTGTTTGCTCCAAAAAAAAAATAAAAATAAAAAAAAAATGAATCAAAATAATAATTAATGACTAAAGAATAAAGAGAATAATTATATGTAGGAGGTTTTAAAATAAAAGACGGTCTTTTTATGGGAGACTAATCTTCAATATAAGTAAAAAATAAAAGAAAAAAAAGTAATTAAAAAATAAAAAAATAGGATTAAGACTATATAAATATGAATAAAATAAGCAATATAATAAATTGCTCAGGATAACAGTTAGTAGTTCCATATAGTTAAAACATAAAATAATTAACTTTTAACTGGCAAGAAACCGAAAACTAAGTTTTATTTGAAAAAAATACTGTCTAAAAAATAATAGATTTTATTAAAGAAGCTGAAGAAAAAGGAGAAAGTGTACTAATAGTTTCATAAAAGGGAACAAATAGGAGTGCATGTGCTACTATAATATATTTATTATACGAATATAAATGGACATTGAATAAATGTTTAGATTTTTTATAAAATAAAAGATCTCATATAAAATTATCGACAAATTTTTAATAATAATTAATGAATTAGGAAAAATTATTAAAAAATTCAGGCCTATCTTCAGTCTGGGATTTAAAAAGCAATTAATTAAGTAGTTCTGATGAAGCTCTAATCTCAAATACTTATTTGAACTCTATAAGTTAAAATAAAGGAGTTAACTTATATTTTAAAAATATTCCAAAAAAAAAACTCTCATTTTCCCAAGAAAAAAATACTAATAATATTTAACGAGCTATTAAATGGTCAGAAGATAATATGGTCTCTATTATTGAAAATAATAATAAAACTAATTCTGTTTCTTCCTCTTTAACATAAAATAATTAAATAAAACATTTTGTTAAATCTATGATAAAAGTAAAATTTAAATTATATTTTTAAGTATTTTAATTAATTTATTTTGTTTTTTTTAAAAAAGGGTTCAATTACATATTTTGATAAAGCAAGTGGAACTAAAATATAAATTCCAGAAGAAGAAGAATAGAAACAAAGAAAAAAATTATTTCTTAATAATTAAAATAATTCTTAAAATAATATTAGGAATAGAGTTAGTTCATTGGATATTAAAAAACAACCCGCCGTTATTTAGAGTAATTCTAAAAAAAATATTTATTTTTTTTAATTTATTTTTTTAAAAAAGAAAAAGAATAAAACGGAATAATCTAAAAAAGCTAATTTAATACTTTAAAAAATCCGGCATTAAAGCCTTTTGAAAAAAAAAATAATGTATAAATATTAACTAAATGATCATAATTTGATTTTTTTTAACACCTTATTTAGTTAAAAAAAAGGCTTATATAAAAAAATATTATACTTAATTTAATATAATATATATATAGAAATTAAACTTATTAAAATATTTCTATTATTTGTATATATATATTAAATTTTTTTTTACTATTTAATTTTCATATTAAAATTAACTAATCGTTCATTTTTATATTATGTTTTTTAAAAATATAATTTAATATAAATAAATTTTTATTTTATTTATGAGTTATTTACTATCAACATAATCAGATATTTTTATATTCATATTACATCCGAAAACATTAAATACCTATATTATATATATCTAAATTAAAATTTAGATATTAATGTGTATTTAATGATTAACATATGAAAAAATTACATAATAATACGCTATATAATATTATTAAAATTAAAAATTTGTGTATATCATTATAATATTTATATCTAAAAAAGTAAAATAATAAAAAAACTAAAATACGATAAAAATAATAATGAGAAGTATTCTGAAAATGCTTGATTTTTTTAAAAAAATAGAATATTTTAGAGTCCATATCACAGCGGGTTTAAATATTTAAAAACATAGAATAAAAAATAAACTTATATTTATTTGGTTTATATTTATACCAAACTGAAGAAGTAAGCAATAGTCCTAATTTCATGAAAAGATTAAATTTATAAAAAAATCTTACTTTTAAATAATAATTTATTATTTATTTTTTATTATATTTTTTTGTTAAATATTCTATAAAAAAAATAAAAAAATCAATGTATATAGGCCTATTTTTTTTAATAATATTGAGTATTTTTTGTAAAATAAAATTATTTTTAAGACCAAAATATTATATATATAAATAAAAACATTTTTTTAAAAACTATATTTAATTAGAATATGTTTTATTAAGTATTTTTGTTTAAATAAAAATAATAATTTTTTATTAACAAATTGAATTATTAATAGAATCAAATTTAAGATCTTAGGCTTAAGAATATTTAGACGAGTTAATAAAAGGAATCTGAGTATGCTTAATATTAGGATATTTTTGCTTCAATATAAGTAAAAACAATAATTTAATAATACAGAGAACATGAATTATAAACTCTAATCAATATATTCTAGTTAATAAAAAGAAATAAAATATAAATTTACAATCATTAAAATTATATAAGTAATTTATTTGTTATATTAGTATATTTTAATTTTTTTTATTTATAAATATATTAATATTATTATATATTGGGCTAAATTAATTAAAATTTTTAGTATTATTAAATTAATATAATATACTTGTTATTTATTTTTTAATTTTATTTTTTAGATATTATTAATAAATAAATTTATATTTTCTTAATATGTTTCTTAATTAAACTTAAACAGCAATTATTTTAATTCCATCTTTAATATATTTTATAAATACGGTATTCAATTAAGCTTTTTTACCTTGATTCTAGGAAGCCAATCAGGTGAATGTGACTTACTTACACTTAAATAAATAACAAAGTTAATTAATGAATTATGAAAAATAATGTAAACTAAAAAGCTTAGTTATAAATTTTATAAAGTATAATTTAAGTATTAAGTTTATTTTTAATATTTTATTATTTTTTGCATAGTTGTAAAAATAAATTACCTAACTTTAAAATTATAAAAAAATGGAATTTCGACAAAATAGAAAAATTTAAAAATATTAATTATAAATTTTAGTTTATCATATGATTTGTAAGACTTTTATTATTCCGCATTTAAAATCTTATAAAGGATTATAGAAATTTGCTATAGTTCTTAAGTTAAATAATTTAATGCAAACTTATATAAACAGAAATATAGTCGATTTTGCTCACTATTCTTTAATAATATTTTATTTTTAATTAAAATAAAACCTATTAAAAATAAATTATCTTTTAGTTTATAAAAGTTGCATTAAATAGTATTCTAATAAATTATTTGGGATGCTTTAAAAACTTTCTTCAATTATAAAAAATTAGCCTAATATTAATTTGTATTTGAAAACCATAGATTTATAAATATAATAAATATTTATTACTTGAAATAAGTCAAGTATAAAAAATTTAAACACAAATAAAATATATATATGAAAAATAATTATATATTAAAAAATAATTTAATGATCAACATTTAATTTTTCATATATAGATAGGGGTGGGATAATATTATTTTTTTTGGTATTTTTATTATATTTCATAATATTTTTTTGTTTTTTTATTTTATTAAAAAAATATATATGAGGAAATTCTATTTAGTTTAATAATTAAATTTTTTTTATTTTTTTATTTTATTTAAAAATTAAAGTTAAAATAATAAACATTTTTATGCTTTAAAATATATTTAAAAAAACATCTCTGAATTTCTTGATCAAAATATATAATTAATAATAACAATAATTTAGGAAATTATAAAAAATTAGTAATTTATTTAAAAACATAAATTAAAATTTTAATTTTTTTTAAAAATAAGATAAACAAACAAGTTTAAGTTTTAACTTTTATAAATTTAAATTTTTTAAAATAAAGAAATACTTTCATCAAAAATAAATAATAAATAACCTAGTTTAAACGAAAATAAATGATACTAATATATACTTATTTAAAAATAAACATGATTTGATAAAAAGTATATAATTATAAGATATAAAATTATTGTTTTTCTAAATTTATATATATATTTTTTAAAATAGTAACATTACTTAATATAATTATGAATTAATATATTCTTTTATTTTTTATTTTTATTAAAATAAAAAGAAAAGAGTAAATTATAGGGATTATCGATTTATAAATATTTTTCAATTAAAAAATGACTCTAAAAAAATACAATAGAAAGTTTATTAAAAAGAAATTATTTTTCAAATAATAAAAATTAATTGAATTTCATAATTTAATTTTAATATTTTGAGGATATGAAGTTATATATTAAAAAGCTTGAAATTAAACTAAAAATAAAATAGGCTTTTTAAATTTCATATTCAAATAAATAAATATAATATAAAATAAGTAAATAGACATATATTTAAAAAATATATATAAGAAAATATTTAAAAAATAATATATATATATATATAAAAAAAAAATATATTTTCTTTATAAAATTATATTTAAAATAAATATTATATATAATTTTTTAAAAGTAATTATTTTATTACGTAAAAAAAAAAAAAAAAAAAAAAAAGTTTTTTTTTATATAAATAAAAATGATTAAAAATGAGGAAAATAATGTAAATTAAAGATTTTATTCTTTATGATTAATTATTTTTTAATGTATAGAATAAATTAAAGTTTAATCGTCTTTTAAAGCTATTAGATTTAGGAAATATTATGTTTGAAAAAAGATAAAGAAAGGTTATTTAATAGAGTTAAACTCAAAGTAATAAATAAAATAAAAAAAATATGATAAATGTAAGATTTATCTTAATTTTATTTAAAAAAATATTTAAATAATTAATTAAATTTTTTTTTTTTTTTCAATAATAATAAAAAAAAAAAGATTCAAACATAGAAAATAAACAAAGAATTTAAAAATAATAGGCCCCTTAAATAAATTTATAAGATAAATAAATATAGGATTAGAAAGATACAAATAATAATTAATAAATAAATTAAAATGAGATAAATAATTAAAATTAAAAATTAAAAGGAATTTTAAAATATAAATAAAACGAAGAAAAAATAGCTTTAAATAAATTAAAAAAGTTACTTTTACAAATGTAAATCCAAGTCCTTAAAAAAATGAAAAAAATCTTGGAGATAGTGAAGATGAAGAAGAAGAAATCTAAGATATGTATTTTCCTTCAAAAAAAGCAATGAAAAAATACAAAAGCAAAATGTTAAGTTTAAAAAAGGAAAAAATTCTTAAAAATAAATTAAATTAATAAAATAATGAAAATTAAATAGATATAGATAAATAAAATCAAATTATAAAAGAAGATTTAAAAGATTTTAATAATATTTAGTCAAACTTTTAAAACCTATAAATTAATTATGATAATATAAAATATAAAAAATTAAAGGAAATTAAAAAAATTGATATTAAATCTAATAAATCAAATAATAGTGTGAAAATTAAACTATAAAATATTAAAAGAAAAGTTGATTTGAAATTAGATATGGACAAACAAAAAAATGATATTTAAGAAAATAATATTATATAAGAAAAAAAAAATATATAAGAAAATAATAATATTTAAAGAAGAAATCAAAAAAACACTAAAGTTATTATTACAAATAATAATGAAACTAAAATTAGAATTTTTTTAAAAGATAAATAAATAAAGTTAAAAAAATAAAATTTTGGAGAAAATATTATAAAAATTGAATTAAATTAAAAAAAATAATTTTAATAAAAAATTATTAAGAAAAAAATAAGTAAAAATAAAAATACCAGAAAAAAATCCAAAAAACAAAAAAAATCTAACAAATAATGCAAAAGAAAAAAAAATACTCAAATTTAAAATGAGTCACGGGTATAATAGTAGAAATAAATATAAGTATAATAACAAACTTAATAATAAGTGCAAAACTAATAATAAGTATAAAATGAATAATATATTTAATGTTAACAAGTTATTTAAATAAATTCAGATTAATCTTTCTAAGAATAAAATTAATTAAATATTAATAAATAAAATGATATTTAATAGGATTAACAACAAAATAATAATATATTACAATAAAATGTGGATATGATATTATAAAATTAAAAATAATAAATTAGTAATATTAATTCTAATTTAAATATTAACTAAAATATTAGTATCAATAATAATAACATTATTGAAACAAATAAACATTATTCTATAATAAGTATATCCGATAGTTGATATTATAAAAATATAATTTTGATAAAATAATTATTATATATAATAAAGGGAATATAAAAAATATAAATTATCAAAGAAAAAACAATATATTTCATAATTATTATAAGAATATATTTTTATTTAATGTATTTGAAAATTTATTTTATAAAACCAAAAAGTAAATATAAATTATATTATATTTAAACAACTTTTTAAATATTTATAATTATATTATATATAAAAAATATATAAAAATAGTTTTATATATAAAATAAAATATTATTAAAACATAAATTTATATATATATATAAATATATATTATATATATATATACATATATTTAAATATACAACACATATTTTCAATTATTTTTATTTTTAGGATATATATTATTATACTTTTAACCAACTCCATATGAAATTACAGTTTATTTAATCAAATAAATATCGTCTTTATTATTAATACTAAATTATTAAGCAAAGTTTTCTATCAAATTAACATGTTTATTATTAAGATTACATCTTCTTTTACTTGTAGATTATATACTACTTAATAATTTTTTACCATTTTTTAATTTTTTAAGTTCTATTTATTTTTTCCTAGCCCCAGCAATAACATTATCAAAATTATTATATGGAAAGAATTTTTTATAAGTTTTAATTCTATCATAATCTTCTATAAAAATATTAGAATTACAATTTTATTATAATTATATTTCTTGTTAATTTTCTTCTTTATTTAAGGCCATAGTAGTCATTTTTAAAAAATTTAAGAATTATTATTGTATATTATTTTAATCAATTTATAAACTAATCTCTTAAATACTTTACTTACTGTCTTAATTTTATATTTAAATGCTTTATTTTTTTTATTAATTTCCTTCTAAAATAGTTTGTTTTTTATCTTAATTTCGTACTAAAATACTTTGCTTTTTTTCTTAATTTCTCTCATTATTTTAAAATCCTTGTTTTCCAATGTTTTATTATAAAAAGCTTATTTTTCTGCTTTATTTTCGATTTTTTAATCTTTAAATATCATTTATTGTTTCTTTTAAATGATTTTCTTTTAATTCTTCTACTAAAGAAGTCATATTTTTAGAAATATAGGATTATTTTGTTTCTGGAAAATTATTTATTGGCTTTTAAATATCTGCTTAACTTTCTATTAAAGATTCTGAATTATATTACTATATAATTTTTTTTGATAATTCTTATTTTTAAAATGAAGAATTGGAATTAATTTTGCTTAAAACAGACATTGTATCTTCTTCTTCTTCATCAGAATTTTCTTCAATAATTAAATTTTTTTAATTCTCATCTTCAAATTCATCATCCTTTACTTATTCGTCTTCTTCTTCAAATTCTTCATATTCATATTCCTCTTATTCATCATCTAAATCATCTAAATTTTAATTAAATAATAAAAAAAGTTAAGAATTCAATTATTATAAATTCTATTTTAAATATTAACAAATAGATTTATTATTTTAAAATATTAACCTAATTTTTTTATTTGTTTTAAATATTTTTTTTTTAAAATAAATTCTTTTTTTTTTTTTTTTATTTTAAATAAATTCTTTTTTTTTTTTATTATTTTAAATAAATAATTTTTTTTTTATTTTTTTTAAATAAATTCTTTTTTTTTTTATTTTTTTTTAAATAATTTTTTTTTTTATTTTTTGTTACAATGGTTTAAATAAAGGATTTTTAATTGAATTTCTTCGAATAAAATCATTTTTTCTTTTTTAAAAAATAGAAAAAATACTACTTAAAATAATTTTTTATTAATCAAATTCTTAATGTGTTTTATGACAAAATTCAGCCATATGTCCTAATTATCCACATTAATAGCATTCAATACTAATCATCGAAAAATCCTTTTAGAAAATAATTTGTTCTTAAATCATTTTAAAAACTTCAAAATCGTCCTTATTTTATCTCACTATTTCTAGAAAATCCTTCCTTTCAATTTTATATAAAGTAGATAAATTTACACTTCTTGCCGAAGCTTTTCTTGGGAGACCTGAAAAAAAGGAAATTTCTCCAAAAAGCTAATTCTGGTTTAAAGTTTTGATTACTTTATCTTTATATTGTGAATAATAAATTTCTATAATCCCACTTTTGATAAAATAAATAGCCTAATCATCCAAATCATTATCATTAAAAATAATTTGATTCGGCGATATTAAAATCTCCTTCATTATAAAAATAGTTTTCTATAAAGTTTAAGATTAAAAGTTCTTGTAAAATATTTAATAATTCTTAATTATTCTTGAATTTATTTCTATTAGAATCTCATCTTAAAGTTTATTTGATAATTTTTTTAACACTTTATCTTCTTCTTCTTTATTTCTATCTTATTATTCATTTGCTAAAAAATTTAAATAATGCCTTACTCGACATTTTAATGTTATATTTATATTATTTCGACTTAAATATCTATTTTATATATATATTTTTGTTATATATTTTTATAATATAACAAAAAATAACCTTTGTATAGTACTTATATCTTCTCTTAATTCTTTTGAGCTTTTTTCTATTTCTTATAAAATCATTCCTATATTATTTATAGAATAAGCAAATACACAACTCATTAAAATCATATTAAAAGTGGCAAATAGGGCTTCTAAATAATTTGAAGGAGTAATATCTCCATATCCAACTAATTAAAAATATAGTAAAGAAAAATACTACACATACATATATATATATATATATATATAATTTTACTTTATTTTTACCTGTACTCATAGTAGTAACAGACCAATAAATAGAATAAATGTATTTTGTAATCCATCCAGAATCCGCTATATTAGCTTTAGACTGCCAATTGGTTTCAAATAAATTCACTTGTTCGAAAATAGCTAATGAATGCCATAAAATAGAAATTATATGTGCCGCTAAAAACACAAAAATAATTAAATCGAATAATTTTAATTTTAATTTTTCGTAATCTTTTAATGTAATTATATTTTCTAAAAGTAATCTTTTATGTTTTAACGAAAAACTTTTAAGAAAAACCAGGAGATGAATAAAATAGATAAATATATTATTTTTTTCGTTATAAAAAATATTCTTGTGTTTAAAATTAAGTTAAAAGAAAATAATACAAACAGGAATAATATCAAAAACAAATAAAGATTGAAAATATTTTAAAGAGATTAATTTTCTTTCTTTAATAAGCTGATCTTTTTAAAAATAAGCCGAATTAAAATTCACGAAAGAATCAATAATAAAAAGAACTAAATTAGTTTAAAAATAATAATTTAAGTATTCTAAATTCTACTCAAATTATCCAAAAAACATCAATATAGAATATATATAAAGAAAAAAAAAAGTCATAAAAATATTCTATATATCCCATATTATTTTAAATTTATCACTAGGTAAAATTATATAACGATTTAACTTTTTAGTTAAACAATTTATGTATTTTTATATTTTATTAAATAATAACTTATTATTAGTTATATTATTATGAAAGTAAGACTTATCTGAAATAATTAAAAAGTCTTTTTATAATAAATTATCTACTTTTCGAAAAATACTTCGATTTTTTAATTAATTTATAAATTTATTAACATGTCTATCTATTGTTAAAAGACGATTTGCTGATTTTTTAAAGACATTTTAGATTATATTTATTGCTTTTATACAATTAGGATTTTTATTAAATTATTTATAAGAACTTGAGTTTATTAATTTTAAATTATAATTTTCTTCAAATACTTTAATTATATACAAAAGATTATATAAAAAAATGAATTCATATACAATTATATATTAAATAAATATATATTAAAAACATTTACTTTATTTTTAAAATTAACTTTTTTTCATTAATTAATAATCTTAACTTATTTATGTTTCATAACTATTTTTTTTTATACTTTATTAATTTTTAAAATTTTATTTTTTAGTAAATTATGCTGAATTTATATTTTAAATTTGTATTATTTTTTATTCATTATTTATTTATTCTATTTTTTTTTAATATATGTTTTCTTTAGTTTCATTTATTTTATTATTTTCTTCGTCAATTTATTCTTAATCTCCTATATGTCCTAGTTTAAAAAACGAAGAATTTTAACTGTTTTAAAATATATGTAATTGATAATTTTAAAAGGGTGAAAAAAATTGTTTTGAATCCAAACTATTTGAGTTTATATTTATTTCTATGTTATTCATCTAATTTTTTTTTATTTTATTTAATTTTTATAAAAAAATAAAAATAATTACTTATTAATTTTATTTTATCATAAATTTCAAATTTTATCAATGACAAAATTTTAATTTTTTTTTTTTTTCTAAAAAATTATTTTTATTTAAAATTCTTTTATTCATATAAATATAAAAAAGCCAAAAATTAAAATAGTTTAAATAAAAAAGATTGGTAAATAATAAAACATAATATAAGCTTTTTTTGAAAAAAAAAAAAAGAAAAAGATATAAATTCTATACTTTCAATAATAAAATAGAAAATAAGTAGAATATATTAATATTGTATTACAAAAAAAAAAAAATTAAATAAAATAAAGTTAAATAGAAAAAACTTTTTTTTAAAAAAAAGTAAGTAAAATTATAAAAAATGGAAAATATCAAATATTAGCAATAATATACTATAAATCACGAACAAGAAAAATTCGAAATAAAAAACTTTTATGGAATAGAGTAATTTTTAAATTCAAAAAACATTAAAATAGATTAAAAAAATCTACATAAAATATCAGTAGCGCCAATGATAGTAAGATAAAATAAAAAAAAAAAACATAAAAAAAAAGGACATAACAGATACTCATTTTAGAAATTTTATGAGACTTTTAACAAAGCATTCTGTCTTGTACACAGAAATGATTCATGAATCTTTTATAAACCAAAATCCTCAAAAAGCGAAAAATTTATTATAGTTTGATCCAATATAACATCCAGTAGTAATTTAATTAGGAGGATGTGACCCTAATAAATTACAAGAAGCTGCATTAATATGCTAAGATATAGGTTATGATGAAATAAATTTAAATGTAGGATGCCCTTCTGATCGAGTTTAATGTGGTAAATTCGGAGCATGTTTAATGAAAGAACCAGAAACAGTTTCAAAAATAATGCAAAAAATGCAATAAATATTAAAAATACCTTGTACAATAAAATGTAGATTGGGAGTTGATAATTTGGATTAATATGAATTTTTATAAAAATTTGTTTAAGAAATTTCTGAAAATGGTAAAGTTTAACATTTTATTGTTCATGCAAGAATAGCAATATTAAAGGTAATAGTAAAAAAAAAAATATAAATAAATATAAAATAAAATTAATTATTAATAAAATTAAAAAAAATATAAATATATTTATAAATATAATTATATATATATATATATATATATATATATATATATTTAAATTTTTATATAAATAGGGTTTAACTCCTTCATAAAATAGAATCGTTCCTTCTTTAAAATATGATTTTGTTTTGTAATTAAAATAAGATTTTCCTCATATTGATTTTAGTATAAATGGAGGATTCAAAACATTTTAATAAATAGAAAATATTTTAAAAGAAGAAAATAATCTAATGGGGTGTATGATTGGAAGATTAGCTTATGAAAATCCCTATTTTTTTTCGGATGTTGATAGAAGATTTTATAAATAAGATAATTTAAACTGGAACAGAAAAGATATATTGTTGATTTGGGGTTAATATGGAAAACATTAAATGAAATTAAATAAAAATTTGTCTGTTTTTATTTTAAATAGGCCAATTCTAAGTTTATTTTAAGGCGAAAAACATAGTAGTAAATATAAACAGTTCATAAGTGATAAAAAAAATTTCGAAAAATGTTTGGATTATGAAAATTTTATTCATGAAGCAATTTACATTATGGAAATTCATAATCCTGATGTACTTTACAATAATTTTAAGCATTTATGAATTTTTTTATTTTTGAAAATAATTTTTATTATCTTTATGTCAAAATTAATTAATTTATTATAAATAAGAAATTAATTTTTTTTTTTTATTATTTTATCTTTTTTAATAAATAAAAAATTCTAATATAATTTATTTATAAATGTTCGAAAAAATAATTCTTAATTTTTTATTTTTTTAAATTGTAAAATATAGTTTTCATAATTTTTTTTTATTTAGAATATTAATTTTTATTATTACAATTAATAAAACCTATATATAAAAAATTTATAATAAAATTATATTAATTTTTTTATATTAATATAAGAATAAAAATAAAACAAAAAACATTATGATGTTTTTTTAATCTAAAAAAACCACTATGAATATAAATAATTATAATATAATAATAATTTTTAAATTTTTAATAAGAAGTTACTAAATTTTAAAATATATGTTAATTATTATTTTAAATATCAATTTTATTAATAAATTCAAATATTTTTTAAACTGAAAATTATATATAATAAACCAAAAAACATAATAATGATCAATTAATTATTAAAAAAAAAATCTAAAAATAATTTACCAAAGGAAATATTTTTGTAAATATTAAGCCTTGAAAATAAGTTGACAGAAATAACAAATTTAGAATAATTAAATCAACTTATTTTTTTATATTCTAACTTAGTTGAGCATTATAATATGAAAAAAGATCCAATATAAATATATTTTTTAGAAAAAATATAAAACTTATTCACAACTAATTAATCGTTAAATCTCATATATAATAAGGATAAAAAAAATCTTTATTTTAATTCTGATATAAGTAATAGTTTTCAAGAAAATAGTTTTATTTCAATAAATTCTAAAATAGAAATGAGCGAGTCAATATTATTAAATAAAAAATATGAAAACATAGAAAAAAATAAGATTTTTTTAGATTATAATAATATGAGAAGAAAAGCTTTAATAGTATTTTACTTTTTTAAAATAATTATTTACTGTTTTTTTTTTTAAAAAAAAATGAAAAATCAATTTTATATAAAATATAAATTTAATATAAAAATAAAACAAAGGATAATATTTATGATTTAAATATGAAAAAAGCTGAAAGATTAGTTAAATTAAATATATTTAAATAAATAGCTGAAACTCATCAAGAAAAAAAGTAAGAAGTATAAAGACTATTATAAGACTTTGAAGAAAAGTCGAACTAAAATGACAATATTATAAAAAAGACATTGATTCATAAGTTGATTTGATAAAGAAAAAACTTGAAGAAAAAAGTAAAAATATAAAATATATATTTTTTATTGTACAGTTAATAAATTATTTTAAAATAAAAAAATAAAAAGAGTATTAATATATGTAAAATAAATTATAAATGAACATATAAACCTAAAATCATATAGAAATAAAAAATTTTACAAAATTGAAAATAAATTAAAATAATTTAAACAATAATTCAATAATTAATAACGAAATTAAAATGAAAAATTAAAACTCTTTATTATAAGTTGACTAAATAAAGAATTTATAAAATATAAATATTTATATAGAAAGTATAAAAATTTGATTTTTATTATTTTAATAAAAGTATAAAATATATAAGATTATTATTTAGTAAAAAAAAATGGTGTACTAATATATAATTAAAAAATATAATATTGTAATAAAAATTTAATATAATTTAAGAAATAAAAAAATAATAAATATATATTTTGTATAATTTAAATTAATGTATATTTTTTGAAAGTAAATATTGATAATAATATAATATAATAAATAAAAATTTTATAATTTTTTTTTACATAAAATATAATAATTAATAATTAAATATTTTTTTAAAAATATTTGTATGTTATTATATATTAAATATAAAAAAAATAAAAATATAATTAAATTAATTATATATAATAAATTTTAAAAATATTTTGAGAAATATAATAATAATTCAAATATATATATATATATATTTATATTTATATTTTTTAAAAAAAAAAAAAATTATATATATTTATTTATATTTATTTGTATTTATTTATATTTATTTATATTTATTTATATTTATTTATAATTTTATTTTTCTTTTTATATTTTATAATTTATATATAATAATAATTTTTTTAAATTATACATTATATAAATTTGAATACAAATCTTAAATTAATAGTCTTTTTTAATATTATTTATTATTTTTTTTTTAAATA